GCAGAGGATTCTGTCGAGCAATAGCTATGGTCATCTCTCCCATGGGCATGGACTGCCTACCTCTTGCTCTGTCCTCCAGCACACACATCTCATTTCTCACCTTTCTGGAACTGAAAATGGGCCACATGGAGCGAGGATGAAGACTGCTTTGACCACGACCAGGCATTTGTTTATTCCCTCCTTCCCCTAACTCACCCTCCACTTTATCCCTTGGCCTCAGTGATGTTGCAATGATGTTTGTGAATTTCTTCACCTGAAGCTCAACATGTAGAGCAAGTAAACGAGCTTTTTAACCCTGAGCAATATTCACTGCTGCTGCCAGGACTTGGTTCAAGAACTACTGTTGCCACTCCCCCTGCAACTACCAGGGTGTGTTTGCGTATTGCTTCTAGTTAATGTGACATCCCCACCCATTCCAATTTGCACTTCATGGTTAAACAACAGAATACAGTTTGGGCAGCTCCTCTGAAGGAGCAATTCACCTGCTTTTTCCCTGAGTGAAGGTGTTTTTTCCTCTCGTTCCTTTGCTGCTTTTGTCAATCTCCATAAATCTCCTCCATCCTGGATCTTGATCCTGTGATGGGAACAATTTCCATCTACCCTGTCCATACCACTTCTGTCTTATAGAATCATACAGGATGGAAACAGACCCTTTGGTCCAACTTGTCCATGCCAACCAAGTTTCACAAACTAGCCTAGTCCCATTTGCCTGCGTTTGGCCCATAATCCCTCAACACTTCCTATTCATGTACCTGTCCCAATGTCTCTCAAATGTTCTAATGACCTGCATTCACCACTTCCTCTGGCAGTTCATTCCATGTGAACCATTCTGTATTTTAAAAGGTTGTCCCTAATGTCTTTTAAATCTTTCACCTTAAAAATATGTCCTTTAGGCTTGAACTCACCACCCTCTCCCAGTGCTTTCAAATCTCTAACTCCAGTTACTCATCCCTTGTACCATTCATGTGAATCTTTTCCACACCCTCTCCAACATATACCCAGGTCCCTCTCCCTGCACCCAGCTTACAACTGTACTACTTGATATCTCTATTCTCCCTACCAAAACAAATCACTTAATACTTTGCTTTAAATTTCACTAGCCATGGGTCACTCATTCTTCCAACTGTCTGTATTCTGTATTCTATCCTCTTCACAGTTGACAATACTTAAGTTTTATTCCATCTACAGATTTTGGAACTGCTCTGTACACCATGGTTAAAGGCATTAATGTGATAATAGCTGGGGTGTTAACAAGCCTGAGGAGCTCTTCTAGAAAACTGTACTACAGGCTAAAAGACAGTTGTTCACCATTTTGCCTCTTGTTACTGTCTCATTCCTGAAGTTCCAGTCTAAAACCGCATTGCCTCCCTATCTTAGTACCCTCCATTGAGATTGTTTCATACCACCCTTTGGTAATCTGTCCTAAAGGATGGTGTCTCATTGTCTGTTTTTTTTTCCTCACTTTTCTGGCCTGAAGCAGTTAAATGGTAGACTGATGCTGTAGTAAAAGTACAGGTTTTTATTGATTTCCTGTTTTGTTACCTCCCTTAGCTGGTTGTGTTCCTGCCTGCTCTCTGCCGGAAGATGGGGGTTCCTTACTGCATTGTCAAAGGCAAAGCCAGACTTGGGCGTCTGGTGCACCGAAAAACTGCCACCTGCCTTGCCCTGGCTCAGATCAACCCGTGAGTATCCTGTTTGCAGTCTGTGGGATAGGTAGGATACAGCTACACAAAGCTGTCCTTTGTCCTGGCTGATGTGATGAGAAGGGGAAGTTGGTGAATGTAGGTTGCAGCATGGCCTTAGTCCCAATTGGCAATGATTACAGCCTATTTGGACTCTGCATCTGGGGAGTAATGGTGTGGTTGTGGCTGTCCAGCCTTATCTCTGCTCATTAACATGTCTGTTACACTCAGCAACAGGCTGCAGCTCTACTTGTCTGGGAGTTTCCTTTGAGTTGAACTAAATCTGCGATGATGTCAAATGAATTTCTTCACCTGAATGATCATGTGGCATTTTGAGCTTTTTAACCCTGAGCAGTTGGTTTGCCTGAAGGCTGGTTCCTGATGTCTTGTATGTACAGCGAGTAATAATGCTTTTGTTGTTGTTTTTTGTAGTGAGGATAAGGGAGCAATGGCCAAACTAATTGAGGCTGTGCGGACTAACTACAACGAGCGATTTGATGAGGTATGATCCTGTTAACGTGAAGTTGTATTCCCATTTGTCAATGCAAGGCTAAACTTTTAAGATGGGGTTGGTTGAAAGACTACAGCAGTGTCACCTGTAACATACCGAGGGAGGTGTTCCAAATGTGCAGAGAATGTAGATACCGATTCAGGTCCTTGGCAAGAGATGCCTTTGGTATGTTTGCTGGAACATGGAACTTCCAGGTAAATCCTCTCTGGTTTGGGGAAAGAGTGTTTAGCAGATTGTCTTATCTTTCCCCTGAAACCAGGGGAAGCAGCAGTTAAGAGATCTTTTATTTTCATCCAGTGAGATGGGATGGAGTTGACAGCTTGATCTGTGTGCAGGAACTGCTGATACTAGGGGACTGTAGGTTTTTGATCACAGCCATTTTCCCTCTTCTTTTTCAGATCCGCCGACACTGGGGCGGTGGCATTCTGGGGCCCAAATCTGTGGCTCGGATTGCGAAGCTGGAGAAGGCCAAGGCTAAAGAACTGGCAACCAAACTGGGCTAACTCCAGGCCCACTCAGCTCGTTGTGTATATAAGGAACAGTAAAACTGATTATTTAAAAAAAAAAAAGCCTCATTAATCTCTTCTCATACTGGAAATAAAGTTGCCATTACAGTGTATTAAATAGGAAAAGGTGGCAAAATGGCAGGAAGGAATATGCTTGAGATGAAGTAATGGGATTTTAAAATTTAATTTGTGGGGTTTGGGCCTTGCTGGCTGACCCAGTGACCGTGAAGGAAGTGATTTATATTCCAAGTCAGGATGGTGAGTGGCTTCGAGGGGAACTTGCAGGTGGTGGTGTTCCCATATGTCTGCTGTCCTCCTAGACTGAAGTAGTCATGGGCTTGGAAGGTGCTGTCTAAGGATCTTTGATTTGCTGCATTGCATCTTATAGGTGGTGCAGACCCACTGCCAGTTGAGTGGGTTGCTTTGTCCTGGATGGTGGGATGGTAAGAACTGCTGATGCTGGAGCCAGAGATAAGTGTGGAGCTTTAGGAACACAGCAGGCCAGGCAGCAGCAGAGGAGCAGGAAAACTGATGTTTTGTATCTGGTCATCAATTTGCCTGCTGTGTTCCTCCAGCTCCATACTGTTATCTTGTGACCTGGATAGTGTCAAGCTTCTTTAATTTGTACAATAATCAATGAACAATGTTCACCATTCATTACTCTTCAGATACTCTCCAAATGCAACAAGATCTGGACAATATCCAGGCTTGGGCTGACAAGTAACAGTCACACCACACAAATGCCAGGCTATGACCATCTAACCACTGCATTTAATGGTGTTACCATCACTGAATCCCTACCTTTTAAGTGGGGGTTATCATTGATCAGAAACTCATTTGGACTCACAACAAACAATGGCTACAAGAGCAGGCCAGAAGCTAGGAATACTGCAGCTAGTAACTCCCTAAAGCCTGCCTGCTATCTAAAAGGCACAAGTCAGAAGTGTGATGGAATGCTTCCAATTGCTTGGATGAGTGCTGCCCCAACAATACTTCACCTGCTTGACACCATCCAGGGCAAAGCAGCCCAATTTGCTTGGCACTACATCCACAATCCATTAGTGGCAGTAGTGTGTACTATCTACAAGATGCACTATGAAAACTCAAAAGATCCTCAGCACCTTCCAAACTCCTAACCCACTTCAATCTAGAAGGACAAGGGCAGCAAATACACGGACACCAGCCGTACCTACATTTCCACAAAATGAATTTAAAAACGTCCCTATTTCTGACTTTATGACAGAGGGAAAGATGTTGAGGCAGCTGAAGAGGGTTGGGTGTAGGATACTACCCTGGGGAACTTTTTCTACAATTCATTTGCAGGATAATGGTATTGCTGGCCAGGCCAGTGTGTATTGCCTGGAGGGCAGTTAAGAGTCAACCACATTGCTGTGAATTGCATGTAGGCCAGATTTGTTAAGGATGGCAGATTTCATTCCTTGAAGGATATTGGTGAATGACTAGGTTCACAGTCATTGTTAGATTCTTCATTCCAGATTCCTGCCATGACAGGATATGGATCTGGGTACCCAGAATATAATCTCGACACCCAGATAAATGGTCCAGCACTGCTAGACCGTTGTACCCATCCTGCAGAGATCAACAACCAACAACCATCTTTTATAGTATGACTCCAACCAGTGGAGAGCTTGCACCCAATTCTAGTTTTGTTAGGGCTCCTTAATATCATGGGCTGTCACCTGACCTCTAGAATTCAGCTCTTTTGTTCAAGTTTGAACCGAGGCTGAGTGGCCCTGGTAGAACCCAAACTGGGCATCACTGAGCAGGTTATCGATAGCGTTGTCGATAATACTTTCCATCACTTATGATTGAGATGGGATGGGACAGTAACTGGCCAGGTTGTATTTGTCTTGCTTTTTACATACAGGACATACCTGGGCAATTTTCTACATTGTCAAGTAGATGCCAGTGTGGTGACTGTATTGAAACACTGGTTAGGGGTGTGACAAGTTCTGGACCACAGAGTCTTCAGTACTGTAGCTGCAATGTTGTCAGGGCCTGTAGCCTTTGCAGCATCCCATGCCTCACAAACATTTCTTGATAGCACTGAGTGAATCAAATTTGCTGAAGACTAGAATCTGATGCTGGGGAGGCCAAGATGGATTGTCTACTCAGCACTTTTGGGTGAAGACTGTTGCGAATGCATCAGCCTTATCTTTTGCACCAATGAGGATGGGTATATTTGAAGAGACTCCTCCAGTGAATGGCTCATTGAGAGTATAAATACAGGTGCAGACTAGTTTGTGCTGTGTGCTCTATAATAAATTGACTTGGAGACACTTTTGAATTGTGAATTTATAACATCATTTACACAAGCAGGGAATTGATTTCCAAGGAGGATCTGCTGACAGGTAACTAGACAGCCGCTTTCCGTACAAACTTCTGGAACCACATATAGGAGGTTGCTGCACACAGCCCATACCTAACAAAATAAAAATACAAAACTATTAACATAAACAGTAAAACTCATACCTAAAATCTGAGAAGTTTTGACCTTCATGTAAGATTGGTTGGGGTCTTGTTTTCTGGCAGACAGGGAACCAGAAAAAAATTTAAAAGTGAAGAGGTGTGACAGGTTTGACAAATATTTCCAATGTGTATACAAATACACCTGGGCTATTAATGAACCTGTTACTGTTTGGGAATTAAATAGTGACAATGGGCAAAACTCCACAGATGGAAGATTAATGGATGAAAATGCAGTTTGGGAAGAATCAGTGTTTACATGGAGTACAGCCCAGAGGGAACAGAGTGTCGTGTGTGGAACAGAGTGTCGTGTGTGAAACAGCATGCAGCTGCAGTAAGTAATTGAGGCAAATGGATTTTTTTTTGGCTTTCATTTTGCCACCGGCCTTGAAAAGCTTTGTTACAACTGTGTAATGTGGGATATTCTGGCAGTGGACGTGGTTTTAAAGAGATTCACTAGGCTGACTCCTGGGATGAAAGGAATGACTGAACAGGCTAGGCTTGTATTCATATACAGTCATGAGTGAGGGGTGAAAGATTAAGATGGTGAAGGAGCCTGACATGAAGTTTCTAGTAGCGGGTCTTGAACTAGGCAACAGACAGGTTTAAATGTTTCCCCCCTTTTCTGTAGCTGAGACACTAAGGACTTTCTTCTGAGGGCAATGAATGTCTGATATTCTCTACCCCAGAGAGTTATGGAGGCTAGAGTGCTCACTGTGCATTTAAAGAGGTAGATAGATTTTGAAAATATTGGGGACTTGGTTTATGAGGAGCAGATCAGTGACTGTCTTACAGTATGGTCTACCTCTGCTATTTTGTATCAGAAATAACAGTTGCCCAGTGATCTTACCAGGTTAGGATGTACTGCAGGTGCTCATTCCTCAGGGTTACTCTTGTCTGCCCACCAATTGGACCTCCAGGGACTGTGCTGTCTGTAAGACATGGCATTAGAATCAGCTCAAATTTCAAGGCAGCTGGCCCAGATCAAAACCATGTCAAAGACAGCAGGCTTGTAGTTCAGAGAGCATCAAAGCACTAGAACCCCAAGAGCAGTCCATTTCCCATTGTACATCTCAAAGCGAACTTGAATTGTAATAAAAGGAAGTACAGCTTTATACAATTAGGAAAGTCTAAAAGGTAAATCACAGTGATAGGTGAAGGTCATATTTAAAAAACACTTGGTTCATTTCTGGCAGAATTGAATTGAAAGTGGAGAAGTTAAACTTGTAAAAAGCCTTTGTATAGATCTCACTTGAATAATGTGTATAGGTATTAGGGTAAAACTGCAAATATTATCCAGAATAATGCCAGAAACATGAGATTATAATTATGGACAGGAGAAGGCTGAAGGTAACCTGTACAAGGTTTGACACAATCGAAGTAGATTTGATGTTACAATTTTGGGAGACACTACAACTGACAGCTACATGCACGAGAGAGAATAAATGCAGTAAAGAGTTTGGGAGAAGCCTAATTCTCACAGCATGCAGAGGATGTGAAATGTATTATCACAATGAGTGGTTAGCATGAACAGCTTAGCTGTGTACAAGCTATGCTGGAGTAATTACTGTCAGGATGAGAGACCAAAGGGGTAGCACAGCTGAGTTCACTCTGGTTACACCTGATGGGTACCATCCAGTTGGGACCAAGACCACTTAGTGTGAGAGGCTGCTCACAGAAACTCAGGTCAATTACACACTCATCCAGCGTATGGGGTTAACGTGGGCTTCAGTAACACGTTCAGCAGTGAATTTACTGGCTGAGCTGTGCAGAGGGTGAGGGGACTTAGGAGACAGCTGGGTGCTGGCTTTGTGCAGAAGTTACACTGAGCTAGCCCATTCCCGCACTGACACTTCAGTGTATAAAAGTACACCCACAGCCACCTCCCACAAACAATGATTCAGAAATTACCACATCATCTGATTTTGAGATATTGGCAGAAGTTCAGATGTTGTCATGACTCTTCATAAATGGCTTTGGGATTTTTTATGTGCAGCAGAAGGAAAGATTATCCCCTCTCAGATAAACCCTCCGACAGTGCGGCCCTCCCTCAGCACTGACCCTGCGACAGTGCGGCCC